AATAATCAATTTTAACTTGAATCATTGTCATTTTTATGTGAAATTCATAAACTGGAGTTTAACCATCTATTATCTGAAAATTTTAGTTCTATAAAACTACAACATTATATATTCAAAATTATTTCAGAGTGATATAGTGCAAAACATAGAAAATATTAAATAGAGATACCCCATAATTTTTTAAGCTGGATCAAATTTTTAGAGATCTAAAATTACGTCATCATATTTACAAAATTCGACAAAAAGAGAAATATTATTATGATTATAAAACAATCCCAAATTGGTCAAATATTTTGCTCAAGCCTTGACAAAACAATTGCCATTGGATCATCAAGGTCAAAGAGGGTCCAGATACATTCACACTGTAATAAATGTCTCTTCACACTTTATTACTACTTAACTACATATATATATATATATATATATATATATATATATATATATATATATATATAACACAAATAAATAAAACTAGCAAAACAAAAATTGAAAAACACAAATCACCAAAAAGAAATAAAAAAAATCCTCCTAATTCTTTCTCTCATGCTTTACTCCTAATTGATCCCATGGAGTTTAATCATAGTAATAATCAAGATGTTTTTTGCACACCCCCTAAAGATTATCTTCAAGATTTTTGTCACCTCGATCAAAATTTCATGATCGATAGGAATAATATTTATGACCCGTTATTCGATCCACTCTCAAATCATGATGATAACTTCTCATCAATTGGTCAAGATTTCAATTTTGGTTATGAATTCAAGCCATTTGAGCAAAATGGTAGTGCAAGTGGTAGCACATTAGTCATGAAGAATTTTGAGAGTTCTATGGATATGAATTACAACTTTATTTGTAATCAAGATATGAAGCCTATCAACTTCAATGTTGTACCTGATGAAAGTTCATGTGTTACTAATACTATTGATATCAATGGTACTAATTATATTTATGATGATAAAGAAATTGATGGAAGAAAGAATATGAAAATTTTATCTTCTTCTTCATCTATGAGAAAAATAGGAAGGGCTACTCGAAATAAGTCAAAATCAGTCAAAGGTCAATGGACTATTGAAGAAGACAGGTATTAATCTTAATTATTATTTTTTAAGGAAAAAATCAATGTTAATTTATTTGATTGTTTTACATTTTTACAGGATTTTGATCAATTTGGTAGAGAGATTTGGAGATAGAAAATGGTCACAAATAGCACAAGTGTTGAAAGGGAGAATAGGGAAGCAATGTAGAGAAAGGTGGCACAATCATCTTAGACCTGATATCAAAGTATGATTTTTTACTTCTAATCAATTATTTCTTTCCTCTTTTTTTTCACCTCCCTGATTAGTGATAATCTATTTTCTTAAATGCAAGTTTATCAACTTCTATCGATAATGTCTTTTACTTTCTTTGAGGTCCTTCTTTCTATATCGGTTATTTTTTTGGTATAATTTCTGATTAGGAATATATATAAATTTTGAATTTTATACGAAAAAAGTATGTTTTAATATAAAGAAAAATGCTAAAATGTTTAATTGGATGATATGCGTGAGTGTGCACATATTGATTTGATATAAACACCTGAATATTGAATTTTTTTTTAAAATTTCAATGCTCATTTAGTAAGTGAAATTTAAATACATATTAAAATTAATAATAATTATATTAGCAAATCGGACTATCGGAGAGTATTTGATGGAAATATCGAGTGTTGGAGTTGTATAATTATTATTTTCATAAGAGAGATCAATAATAATGTTTTAATGTTTGATTTAAAAAGATAACATTGTTGTGAAAAAAAAAAAAAGTCGGTTTAATTAACTTTTTTCTTTTGATGGATAATATTTTCCTTATGGTAGTTAAATACCAGAAACTGATTTTTGTCATACCAAATTAGATATATACCTAATTTTCCTTTTTTTTTAATTCTTCAAATACTAGATGAACGAAGGAGAACCGTACTTATTATTACGTACTAGTCAATTAAATCAGTTAAATTATTATTCATATCGAAAGGAATCGAGATTGATAATGAGTTGTCTAATAATTTTTTATCATGTTACTTATTTTGAGTACCTATTTATCTTCTGTCGGTATCTATGAATGGATCACAAGTCATAATATGGCTAGAGCCCTTATATATATTGAATGCTGTTAACATTTTCTGATTTTTTGATAATCGTCAATTAAATGATGAGACATTTTCTCAATTTTTGTTCAGTGAGAATTGAACTCACACTTGTTACGCTAGAGAAAACTCTAATCGTTATAATTAACTAGATTTAACAGAAATTTGTGTATTGATTTGTTTGAGCAGAAGGATTTGTGGACGGAGGAGGAAGACATGATATTAATCAAAGCACATGCAGAAATAGGTAACAAATGGGCAGAAATAGCAAAGAAACTTGCTGGTAGAACTGAGAATTCGATAAAGAACCATTGGAATGCTACTAAAAGAAGACAATTTTCGAGACGAAAATGTCGCACAAAATGGCCTAGGCCAAGTTCGATCCTCCAAAATTATATCCAAAGTTTAAACTTCGAAAAGAGTAATAATAATGCAGGTAAATCTACAGAGCCAACAATTGAAGAAGTTCCTGCAAATTACGATAATTTCAATGATGAATTTGGTTTGGATAACAAACTGTTTGATGATTTGGAGATTCCATATGAACTGATGCAAGATGGTGAAGAAAATCATAAGGAGCTTGACTTGATGGATTTTGATTATTCAGAGTAATAGTGTTATAGTGCATGAAAATGACTGTAATTTCTTATGAGATGCTACATATATTACATATAGAGAGAGACAATTATAGGTGTTTGTTTAAATTAAGAATGATATTATAGTACTTTTTAATATATATGTGCAATATTGTAATGTGTTTGGTAAGGAGGAATATATATTTTTCAGAAAATATTTTCATGTTTAATTGATTAAATGCTTTGAACAATATTTCTTTTAGAAAAAAAATTGTTGAAAATGAGAAAAATTAACTTTCTGATGAAAGTAGTGAAATTATGTGGGAGGTAATTATTACTTCGTGACTTCTAAAAATAGTTATGTTATTTTGAAGCTCAAAGTGAGAAAAACACTAACCTAAGCAGTAACTTTTTAAAGATTACAAATACCATAATTTTATATAAAGTAAATATATTTAATAAAAATAGATTGTATTTTGAAATAAAATAAAAACTATCAAAAACTCTACTTGATAAATAACTTTTTCTTTAAGAATGTGTAAAAAGAAGAATACGATAAATAATTTGAGACGGTAGAGTAACTTCACATGTCGAGGACAGGCAAAAACTCTTTCCAGGTGTGTTTGGTTTAGAGGAAAATATTGTTTGAAAATTTTTTTAAAATTTTTTCATGTTTGATTGATCAAAAATGTTTGAAAAATATTTTCTCTTAAAAAACAAGTTGTTTTTCCTAATTAACGGAAATAAGGAAAACAAGTTACATTACCAATGACATTTCAAATTTATTTTCTCCTCCCACCCATCCAATCCTTCGCCGCCTCCAAAGCCTCACTCCCCATTTCATCTTATATACAGTGTTTTGCTAGATAACATATAAATACTAGAAATAAGTAAGAAACCACCTATTTTCTAAGAAATCATTTAATTATTATTTGTATATAGAGTTTAACTCCTATATAATTCACATTGTAACAAAACTAACAACCGCTTTTGTTCTTTTTCGTTTTATCTTTACCTGTGGGCAACTCTAGTTTTTCTTCTTGCTACTATTACTCCATCTGTTCCTTTGTTACTTCCATTTGACCCTTTTATTATAAATTTATTTTATTAAATTATATATTAATTATATTTTAAATTTTAAGTTTAACTGGTAATATTTTATATAATTATTTAATAATATTATTTTTTAAAAGATATTAGTAATTTGCTAAAACTGACGAGTAAACTGGGAATGGGGGAGGTACTTATTAGACAGCCTTGATAACAATATTTCCGAAAGAATTGAACTATTATAGGTGCATATATTAGCTATTTATTTATAAATAAAATGTATTTTTTCTATTTCATATTAATTGAATTGTTCAAAATTTAAGATAAATGTTTGAATTATTTTCATATTTGCCTTTTTCTAAGTTTGATATTTTCTAGGAGATAAATTGAAATACTTACGAAGTCTATTTATGATTTTATAAAGGACAATAGCAAAAAGTATGATTCAAATTATGTCCTTCATCGTTTGGTTGGGAACAAGTTATCCAAGATAAATTATCTTGGGTTAGCTATCCTGGGATAACTTATCCCACCATGTATATGGGATAACTTATCCCATCGGCCATCTATGATATAAATGGTGGAATAAATTATCCCAAACATGACAACCAAACAACATAAAAAAGTTTTATCCCATCACTATTTTCTTATCCCATTACTATTTATTTCTCACACTAATATTTTTTCTTAATAAATGTGAATTACCTCACAAATTTTGTTAGTACTATAGAACATAGGGAGTATTATTTTATGTTTAACATTCCATGTAGAGTACATTGCCTTGTGAATTTTAGGGCTCGTTAGATAGCTAATTAGAGTTATATAAATATTATTGATGTAGAAATTAGTTATAAGTGAATTTATGTATTAGTTTATGCAAAGAATAGTTATATACATATTATTTATTTTATTTTCTATTCGTATAAAATAATATATAAATTTCCTCATAACTTTTATACATATATTAGTTAAACAAGCTTCTAAATTGGCAATCAAATATCGTAATATTTATATACATAAATAACGTTTTTCTTATCTACATATTAGATATCTTATAAGTTATACAAAAATTAAGATATAGAATTATAGATAATTTATTTCTTATCCGGCTATAACGACCCTTATTAATGTATGATTTAACTTTATGTGTGCCAAAAAGTATCCATTTTCTCCAATTACCCCTATAATTATCTTACTTTAAAATCATGTTAAATGTTAAAATATGAATATAATAATTTGCATCACTATCATACCCCAAGGGGTAAAAAGGTAGGGGTGGGTAGCAATCTTTGTTCAGTTCCTAAGCTTCTCTCACTTCATCACTCTCTGCCTCTTGAATCTTCACAAGTCAGAACCAACAACAATGGCTGCCACGATTTTCATTCCCCATTTTACCCCTCTCACCCTTCTCTATTTTCTTCTCTTGTCCACTTCCTACATACCCATTTTAGCCATTAACATTACCCATCTTCTATCTTCATACCCTGAGCTTTCCGAATTCACTAATCTCCTTTCCACCACCACCGTCGCCGCCGATCTGGCGGAGCGATCCTCCGTCACCCTTTTCGCGGTCCCCAATACCTTCATCCGCAACTCCGATGTGATGAACAACCATTCTCCGTCGTCATCCTCCATTAGTCTCGGCGATGTCCTTCGTTACCATGTTCTGCTCGAGTACTACTCTTGGCCTGATCTCCTCCTTATACCACCCGCCGGTAAACTTGTCACTACTCTGTATCAGACCACCGGACGAGCTCCTAGCAATTCCGGGTCTGTTAACATTACCCATGACCCGATTTCAAATGCCATCACTATCCATTCACCGAATTCCAACGCTACTGTTATCAATTCTGTGAAGACAGTGCCGTATAACATTTCGATTTTCACCGTTGATTCAGTTTTAGTTCCTAATGGGTTTAATTTAATGGCATCTGAAACTCGACCCACTTTAGGTCTCAACATAACCCAGACACTAATCGATGGGCACGACTTTAATATTGCCGCTTCAATGCTGATGGCTTCAAGAGTGGAAGATGAGTTTGAGGATGACGAAAGGGGTGCTGGAATAACTTTATTTATGCCGACAGACCAGGCATTTTCGGATCTGAACTCATCGAAGATATTTCAATCTTTACCGGCGGAGAAAAAGACCGATGTGCTTAGGTTCCACGTTTTGCACTCGTACTACCCTCTGGGTTCACTGCAATCGATAGTGAACCCAGTTCAACCAACATTGGCGACGGAGCAAAATGGGGCTGGAAGTTTCACCCTCAACATTTCTAGAGGAAATGGGGATGTATCGATCGATACCGGGATCGTTCAGGCGTCGGTGACTCGAACGGTGTTTGATCAGAATCCAGTGGTGATATTTGGGGTATCGAAGGTTTTATTGCCTAAAGAATATTTTCAAAAGAATTCAATTGAGGTAATAAATAAACCAAGTAGTGGAGCACCTGCATCAGCTGACCCACCGGAGATTTCTATCTCACCGGTGAATTCGCCGGATATTGACGGTTCAACCAACCACTTATCTTCACCGCCGAGGTTCGGAGAAAAAGAGTCGTCGGCGGCGAACACTAAAAGTACAATAGGAATATTTTTGGGTTTATGCTGCATAGGGTTCTACGTAGCTACTGGGTATTAATTAATTTTCAAATAGTATAATTATTTTTTCCTACTCTGTGGAGGTGATTTAGGTCAAGTAGTATCAATTTATTTTTTTGCCTTTATCATTTCTTCCGTGGTTTTTTTTCTTTCTTAAAGCTTCATATGGTGTTGTAATATGTAAAGAGCTCCATTTTGTTTATTGCAATTGCTACATAAGTACTACTAATATTTATGAAATTACAAAGTTTTGCATACTTTTTAAATAGATTTTAGCTTACACCTGCCTCTGATTATACCTAACCAATTCTTTTCCCTTTGATTATTATTTATTCATATAAAAAGCTGATGACACAGTCATAAGATTGACCAATCTTTTGCTGAAATATTGGATCTTTAACGGGAAAAAATACCATTATTCTTTATAATTTTTGTTTAACTAAACACCCAAAAAAAGGAAAAAGTACATCTTTGAGGTGTTGGAAAATGTACTTGGCTGTAACCAACCAGGTGCATTCAATTTTCACTTGTTGATCTCAGCAATGCAGAGTACCCTCAAGAATAAGAAGACGCTACTTAGGTCATTTTATTTGGAATTTTTTTTCTTTCTTTTCAACTCTTAGCTGGCGTTGTTTAAAAATTCAAAGCCTATTATTTTTTATAACAATTCAATTTTGCACACTTTTGGCGTTGGCTAAAAGTAATTTTTTTAATATGCATTTGGATTTTCCCACTTTGTTAGAAGATGGGACATGGAAGGAGATATTTAGGTCACCTAAAAGAAACACAAAAGAATCTGTCTGGATTTGTGATGGAGCAATAGGACAGTACTGGTGAAAATGATGTACGGGCAATTCAGCAATGGCACTCAACCATTGATTAACATTCCTGTTTGATGGACTGATCTAGTGTATGTACAATATTGGACAAAGATATAATCCAGATTCGGTTCTCTATATAGAAATTCAATATCAGGTCCATATTGCATAAAATTCAATTTGTTAATTTGGGCTACTCATACTGCAACACTAGTATTGAAAGCATAAAATAGGAATTCAGATTCGATTATATAGAATTCAATACCTGGCCCATATTGCACATCCGCTTCTTATTTTTTGTGAGCATAACATAACCTTCAAAAAGCAGGAGCACGACAAATAACGAGAATTATTGCACGCACACAAAAAAAACGGAACTTTAAGTTTCCGATTCTCTAATTAACACCTTGGGAAGATAAATATTTTGAATGCAACGGTATTGTTATCAAATATTACAGACTCTCTCAAACTCTGATGTTTCAGTGCCCGCAGCCTAGTAAAATCGTCAAATTGGCAGCAATTACACTTAAACTGCCTAAGAAAAGAATAATTCGTCCAACATGACACAACAGACTAAAAGAAGATCCTGCCTACAATACAACCAAGTTTTGGTCATCCGTCTAATGATCATAATCTACCATCAAAATTGATTGAGATTTCATTCTGTTTTTGCCTTAGACTTAATGCGCTTCACCCTTGAATATAGGAAAACTCCAGCAAGGGCAATTCCAGTTCCTACATCAAAAAGGAAGAAATTGATTTCTCTATTGTGAAAAAAATATAAAAAAGGTAATTACTACCTTTTTATATTCAACAAAACATTATCACTCGAGCTGTTAACAGGAAGGAGTGAAAAGGGGAAAGGGGGTTTCTCAATCAGCAATAGGTTGACAAGTATAAAGTGTAAGGTGTCATACCCAAACCATTAATAGGAGATACAGGTGTGCGGAAGAAGAGAACGGAGGTCACAATAACCACCACTCGCTTCACACAGTTACCCACAGAATGAGTAACAGGCGATACCCTCTGCAATATCATGTAAGAAACCTGCACCAAAAATACAGTGTCAGCAAGAAATAACATAACCAGCAGTTGTCACAAATTTTCAGTAATTCATCAAATTTTGTCACATTGGTTTGTGAATTACATTTTAAAAAAAAGGAATTCTACTCAAGCAAGCCAAGCTGCTGATTTGCAGTTCACACAGCCATGAGTATATAACTGTAACAGAAACTTTTAACCAATTCTGCATTAAAATGGCCATTGATCATAGCCGAAATTCGCCAACAGATGAAATATCCACCTGTGTGTTTTCAAATTTTCCGAGTCTTTCTGACATTTAAAAGCATGCAATTTGAAGCTTTTCTCCCTCATATAAATCTTCAATTTTTTCAAACGGACTGCTTCAGTGTGAAGTGGAAAAAAATCGCATGGACCTATATTCAAACAAGGCAGGCAGGAAACAACTATGCTTAAGGAGATAGAAAGGAAGAGCCATGTGTTTCAAATCGGTCTACAGTTGATAGGAATATGCACTTCCAGTATGCTTGATACTGTCCAAAACAGATGGCAGGGAAAGGAAGGTTCTATCCATTACTAGAACAACGTAACACCATGCAACCACAAATTGCAAGCAACATAACAGCACAAAATCAAAGTACAGTATTACACAAATTATGTCAAGGTCTTATCTAACGATGAAGTGGACCAAAAATGCATTAATTAGATCTCGCATAACCCTGTATCACTGTAGCAACATAAATTTTGTGTGTTCTCACTAAGGTATGCTAGAATTTGAATTGAATCATGTTATAGGACTCCAAGGAATCAATGAGAAACCGAATGCAGAATTCTTATACCTGCTGATAAGCATGGAAGCAGAGAGCAGCAATGAGAGACCTTGTGTAAAGCTGGTTCACATTCAATCCCTAGCACCAAAGGAAAATAATGAAAAATTTTAAAAATAGTTTCTGCAATTTCTGTCCAACGGAACAATGAAAAAAGACACAGAGTAAGCAAAGGGGTAGAAACAATAAAAAAATCCACTTTATATATCACTTACTGCAGCTTCCAGGTACGCAGGAGTGAACTTGACACCTTCCGTGAAAAAGGCGTATGGGGCCAGCAAGAAAAAGGACATGATAGTGATTATTGAAAAGAGAGTAATGTTATCCAATGACTCCTGAAGAGAAAAAATTGGAAATGTAAACTTCACAGCATTTCAGAAACCAAAGAAGACTAGCAAGAAACTTGGGTTTTGTCTAGTAAATGCAATAAGGTTAATCCAGAAACAAGATAGTTACTTGATGAAAAATGGAAAAGAATTCTCGAAAAGAACCCACATAGTTTTCTCTTACAACTAACATTTCATATAAGCTTGAAACATCAACCAAAGAAACCTTCAACTTTGGGTACATATTTTCTTCATACCCTCATCTAATAGCATGAAACAGACCAAAATTACCTCTTTCCGAACCATAAACTTCTTGCTGAGGACATTACGTGATTGATTGGTTAAATTAGAGGCCATTGCACTCCAAAATCCAGCCCTAGCAATCAACAACACATGATTTGAATATAAAATTTTGGAATAAAACTTGATCTAAAGTATCTCCCACTTATATACTAAACTAGCGACAAAATCATATGGTATTATATAAGCACAGAACATTTGAGTCCCTCACCAATTAAAAGATGCCTCAGTCATTGATGCCAGTCCCACTCCACCAACAATTGGTAGAAGAGAAGATAAAACCCATAAGGTAGGGAACTGCGTGAACAAGATAATCCAATGTCATTAACTATATTAACACAGACAGTAGACAAACAACTAAATTGAAGTGAACTTTTTTTTCTTTTTAAAGTAGTGGAGGCATAAATATAATCTGAATTAAGATGAAAATATATGGAAGAAGAAATTGAAAAATAGTTGCTTCACCCTGCTGTCACAAATGAATACAAGATATTTATATAGAAATGTAAAGGACATTCATCTAAAGCACACCTCGCCTAAGAACATAGCAGAGAGGACAACAGAGAAGAATGGCTCCATAGCTTTGATAGTGTGAGTGAATGACACAGAAACTTTTCCAAGACTCATGTTGGTGAAAAGGTTGCCCAAGGTATGCACCGCTGCCAATGGCAAAATTGCAACAAGCTGCCAATTGAAAATTTAAAATCAGAACACATCCACATAATCAGGTCTAACCCCTAACCGTAGTTAATTTGTCTCAATGAAGTTACCTGTGCACCACTGATTTTAGGCCTTTTGTATAGATTGAGAGTCCACATAAGAATTACAAGGACGGAGCCAACAGCAAATTGCGCGAGAGTCACTGTAACTGGGTAAGGGAATGCTTTCAGCACCTATAGAATACAGCAACCTTAATCAATGAGACAATGACGCAACTTGACAAGCCGAAAGGCAAAATTTAACTTTCTATTTAGCAGCCATGTTCACATTCAAGAAACATGTACTGAGTAATCTACAGTTTCATTCTCTAAGCAAATCACATTTCCAAGGACATCTTACATATGACAGTGAAGAGATTCAAAATCACTTCAATTTATTTGCAATCTATTAGAAAACGGCTCAATTTGCAAACTTAAATGCACTGGGAATAGATAATTCCAAAACAAGGAAAAAGTTAAATGGATATTCTAAAATTTTAAAACGATTCATGCCTTGGAAATCCTCACAAATAGCAATACATGCATGCATTTACACATACAATAAAAGCACTCTCAACTACAAGGAAGCAAAATCACAAGACGTACGAACAAGTGGTATAAGCAACAAATAGATCAGCTATACTTATTCATCAATACAAGCAGGATGAGAAACAGAAAGTATACCTGTTTGTTGTAAATGTTGAAGTAGATGTTAAATAGATACCAAAGCCCGAAAAGAGATCCGAGCACCAAAGTTTCCGTCATAGGCTTAGATTTGGGTGCCTCTCCAGCGCTCTCCGGTACAGACGTGGCTCGAACCTCCACTCCATCCGATTCACGCTCTGGAACCGGAGCCGGAACTGAAATCCATCCATTACGATTCAACTTGGACGAAGAAGAGCAACTAATCGGATTGATTTTCCTCGCTGTTGAACCATTTAGGGATCCAAAACGAAGCGGCTGAGATAAAGGATTGAATCTACAAAGCGAAGCGGAACCAGACGGCCTGTGAGGCTTCTTAGGGAGTGAAATTGACGGAGAAAACGAGATT